CCACTCTATAAAGTAAATCGCTATCAACTGTAGTGAAGATATGTGTCATATATTCCTGAATTTGTAGAAAAAGAATACCTAAAGTACCCATGCCAGCTATGGTGAGGACAACCCTGGTACATTCTTTGCCCTTCACAATACCCTTACCATACGGTTTGTAACTCGTAAAAGGGTTCACATTATTCTGTTTCCCTCTAAATTAGTTGATATTGGAGAAATATCACAATGCAACTATTGTCAAAGTTATAATCATGGTACTGTGGTTATTTATATACAAAGGCCCATGTACAGTAGTTGCATTTCCTCACCATGAGTCAATATGAACAACATCGCAATTCCTATGAGAATGAGCTCATTTCAATTTCCACATAGTGGGAAAGGACAGGTAAAGGGTTTTATTTTCGATTTTACCTAGGGTTGTATTTCAAGTAGTAAACAAAATGACAAATAATTCGTTTCCACATGTATCTTCACCTCTTAAAATATATGGAAAACCACTTTCCACTATTACCTAGTTACTGTCACAAATACTCCTGTATAGAAAAATAGCTAGATATATAAAACCAAGCAGGAAATGACACACCGGCAGTCTTTTATAAACTGATACAACCACTACTCTTTACCTTTGCTTCACTGTTTGAATCTATAGCTTGGTAAACCTTGTGGATATCAGTCGCAAACGCTCTAGACAACCATCAAAAATATTTTCTTGGCTAGTGACGAGTGGGCTAAGTTATCACCAATAGATGTATATTGCCGTTCGTTACATAGGGCCCGTTTGTAAGCCTTGCAAAGTGTAGAAAATAATTTTAGCTTCGCCAGGGCTTCCACGACTACAAATATTAGCAGCAGGCGAACTAAAGGCCTTCATTAAAATATCTTCGCTTTCCTTCGAGTTCCATCCAGGGGTGAACGAGGTAAAGGCCACGTAGTGATAAAATCGGGCAATGTAAGTCATTAGGATTTCAGTACTGTATTTCGCATCGTTGGGTTCCCAGATCAGCTCGTAATACGTATTGGGATCTTTCTTCTTGCAATAGAACAGTAGAATGGATTTTCCCTTTTCTAACTTGTTTATAAGCATACCGTCAATGCCAACACTACTAGTGAAGATATGTATTCCCATGATGCCACTACTTTTTTTCCCATTTAAAAATTTGGAATATCGTATTTTTGCAGCAAGCAGTCTACTAATCAAACTCTTAGAAATTTTCAGTATATCAGGTGCTGCTGCGGTTTCGGGGTATTTCTTGCTTTGAGCTATACTTTCTTGCACGATACCAATTAACTTTTGTTCGTTCAAATGTCGACCTTTTAAGTCATTGGTTGTTAGTTCGCGACCGGGAAAGCCTTCAGGCAATGGTGCCATTGCAAATAATTTCGTTGTGTCCGGTTTTGGCTCATTAAACACGCGAGTGCGAAATTCAACGGGGAGCCTAGCATCCTGTTTCCCTCGGGTTTGTTTTTTCGAGAGATTATTCCAGGCAATGAAAACAGGCGAAGGTTGACTCGCATGATTAGAAGGGTTACCGGACGACGAATGCACAGACGGACAGGAGTTGAAACCGACAGGATAAGTATTGCTCACTTCATGGTGGTACGTGTATGTCCTAGCATCCTTATGCCCCAAGACTCCAAGTGCACAGCTATACTGGTCATAAATGACAGCAATCTTATCTGTCAACAGTTTTAGCCGAGAAACCAGGGGAGTTGGCTGAGAAAGCGATGCTTCAGAGTGCGGTGGAAATTCTGCCACTCCCAAGTGTCTGTTCAAGGGAGGAGTGCCAATTACTCCGCACACAAAGGTAAAAAGTAAGACCACAGTGGTAGCCACGACTGGTGACATTTGGCCAACCTGCATGATAGCCGACATTAACAACAGTATGCAAATGAAAAGAAGCGATGCAGTCAGAATAAACTGTACGAGAAATAGCCACAAAGGAATGATAGTGGACAAGGCAGATTTATATATACCTTTTTTTTCTTCATTGATGCCGAGATGAAGGGTTGGGGAAGGGCATATTATGGAAAAGGGTACTACTTGAACAGGGAGGTGTTGTGGCCAGCTGATATTGGTTAATTCGTTGTACGGGTGAAGAGTGTAATCCAGTGGCAGTTCAATGTAAACTCTCCGTGTAACAATGTCTATATTCGAAGATAAGATCTATCTCTTTCATTGGAAGGCCACCTCCTCGTTTGCATAGCTATTCACACTCAAGAACACTCCCAAGGGAGTTTGCATGGGATATTCTCTCGCCATGTGGTTCCGGGGACAGTTTACCAAATATATGGTGAAACGTTGGTCCGCGCTTTAACCAATAATTTTTTTTGGAAAGTGGAAGAATCGGGAGTCGGGTTTCGCAGCGGCGGTTAATAGAAACGCATAGGAAAACAAGGTGGCTGGCATAAAATATTCATTTTTATGAAAAGGACGTAATAACAGCAAGGCATTTTAGCATTCCGCCACTCTATAAAGTAAATCGCCATCAACCGTAGTGAAGGGTCGTGTCATATTTTTCGGCAACGGTAAGAAAGGATTACCAGGAGTACCCATGCCAGCTATGGTGAGGACAGCCTCAGCATATTCTTTACCCTTCACAATACCCTTCCCATTCAGTTTGTAACTCGTAAAAGGGTTCACATTATACTGTTTCCCTCTACATTAGTTGATATTGGAGAGATATTACAATGCAACTATTGTCAAAGCTATATTTTCGGAAGTGTGGTTATTTATGTGTTTACAGCCAAGGACTTATGTACGCTTGTCGCTTTTCCTCGCCATGGATCAGTGTGAGCTACAGTCCCAATTTCCACCAGAATTAACTCACCTCAATTTCTATATAGTGGGAGAAGACAGGAATTGTGTTTTATTATCGGCTTTACCTATGGTTGCGTTGTAAATAGCAAACAAAATTATTAGCAATTATTTTCCACGCTTATAGCCTCATCTTAAAGTGCATGAATACCCATATCCTACCATTACATAGCTCCTGACACAAATATCTTTGTATAGAGGAAGTGTCACATGTATAAAACCAAGCAGGAAATGGTATACAGATAACCTTTAATAAACTAATGTAACCACGGCTCTTTACTATTGATTTAATGTTTGAGTCTACACTTTCATAATCCTCGCGGATATCAATTGCAAGCACTCTAAGCAACCATCAGACATACCCCTTTAACTGGGGTGATGCTCATGGCTAAGTGGGTAGTGCTGTAACTCCATCCCTGATGACCTGAGATTGCTACCGGTTGGCAGGCCTGGAAAAGACATTATAAAAATGTATTTGATTTGGATTGTGTTATGTCCGGGGCATTGTAAAAATTAGTAAATTGGATGTGATAATAAATTGAAAAATTATCACAGACTCCCTTGGCACTCTCATCGGCATTTAGAAGTGCATCTTCTCTGTCCACCAATTGTCCACGGTTGCCACGTGTTACTCTGAACTTCTGACATGCAGTTGTCTTGGTAGCCATCTCAATATCACTCCCATTCTCTCCTATTTACCATTCTCTGACACCACTATGCAACCTCTGTAGGCACGCTCGTGGTGCCCAATGTGATTCACCCAGTTTGATCCCTGGCTCACTGACTACAGTTTCCCACTGTTTCTTCTTTAAAATTGTGCACAACCTTTGGGTGGGGAGGCCTACCCGTGCCATTTGGCGTCAGAGTTACCACTCTCATGTGATACTCTGGCTGTACAACATGTATTATTTTTCCCTGTTTCTTGCGAAATGTGAAAAAAATAATATATCCATGTTGGTGTGTCATGAGCCTGTAATAGGAATTGGATCCCAAGTGCGAGTAGGCACACGTCTTTGTGAAAAAGGGGACTTGCGAGTAGACAAAATAAAACCTTAAATTAAACGAGTATGTTTTTTATTCATAAGGAGCCTTTTTCTGCCGGGTACCTGATGCCCTTATATAAATGGTAAGCGGCTAAATCAAATTGTAAATAAAATCCTCTACATCTACAAAATGTAAACAATTTCTCATGGTGCCAGATCATTAGTCAGTCGGCTCCATGTTGGAAGCACAAGACCAACGAGAGTCCAGTATGGTGGTATCACCATCATCCGGGACCTCCCGTCTTGTGTTTATCAAATCAAAATCCTCAGAGGGAAGTTGGTCTTCCTCTTTTGAGGATGCCACTTCTTCCCGTTGCAAGCCAAATATAGAATAAACTGTCCATACATAACCAATTTATACCATCTGAATTAAACTATAAACTTGAATGCTGTAATAAGTTTAGTCTTAGACACCCAATTATAAAGAATCAGGATAGGAAAATTTGACGAATTATACCAATTAGATTATAAAATGGAAGAATAGAATGAATTATAGCTAACCATATCAGCTTGAGGCGATTATAGTTAACCCTAATATTCTAACCTGAATCACTTTTTCAGTGAAACCAATGAAACCTTAATCTTATACCCATAGAACGGTAAGTATATCTATGCAAAAACCAAAACTGAACTAATATGCTTTAACTATTTTATCAAGGGTAGCTAGGCCAATGACCAAAAGAATGAATATCAAATATGTAAATCTAAGCCAGACTAACGACGTGAATATAAAACCATTCACCATCACCACATTACTAAAAGGAGAATTGCTATAATCCCGGTTGTACAAGAAATGACAGTGATTCCGTGGTTCCTGTGCCACTGGAATCCATGGAGTGTTTCTACTATGTTGACTTTGAAAAACACCTGGCTTCCACACAGGAAGCAAAATTCCATCAAACAACTGAATTACCTACCAGTAGTGTCAGCTAACTTTGTCTGACACCCAGGTCAGTATATTATATTGGGATACTTGGATTGATCGAGCCCACCGAAGGTGTTCCAATTTTGCTACAATTCGAAGGCCAAACCGCGCCTAATCACGTGATACAGCTACTGTCAAAACCACGTGACTTTACTGACAAAAAAATAGTCGATTTTTTTCGGACAAAGGAACTGCAAAAAACTTATTGATGTGGAATCTCCGACACGGGGAATCGAACCCCGACCGTCGCGGTGAAAGCGCGAAATCCTAGCCATTGGACCATGTCGGAAACTGTTGAAAGGTGATCCGTTGTTAAATATTTAAGTGTATATAGTGATCTGAAGCAGGATGTTGTATCTGCTAACCGAGATCCTCCCATCCCTAGACTGAAAATCACTAAAAGAAGAAGTACGCCAGTTTCTTACCAAGGTCAATGGGAAAGGGTGTGCTAGGAAATGACATGGTGTTACCATTTCCCAGGTGCCTAATAGAGTACATAAAATACGTGAGAGCGGTTAAAATTTATTACTAGGAACAGTATGTTCATTAAACTTAAGCGGTTATGCAATGTAGAGACATGTAAGTTTTAGATATTCAGTCTAGACCGGGTATATCCTGAGATAATGGAAATAATACAATTCTATGCTTAATTACGACGGAGCCGAACGAGCCAAGGGGCGCAACTGGCACATTCAGTAGCATTAGTTTTTAAGTCCATAAGTATTAGAAGAGCAAGTGTGATCATCTATCCTGTCTTTATCACAGTGGGGAATATTGTCCTGATGAGTGACGGTATATTACAGCTCTGCCTCCTGGGTAGAATATTTATTAAGGGCTGTGTGAGGTGCTTGCTCCTTTTCGTGTACTGGCCAAAAATAATACTAGGGTATATAAAAACCCCAGATAATAAGAACCCACTTCTTCACCCTTAGCAGTGCATTCCTCTTGCGATATAACATGCGGGCCTACATTGTTCAATACCCTGTTGCGCACATTATGTCTAGAAAAAGCCATTCTTCTGGGGTATTGCAAAAATGATGATGCCAACACATACTACGAGCTCATTTAGTACCTTTATGATGGGAAATACACGAAGATTTACTTTATTACACTCGATAGCATCGCTTTCTCTTCTTCAACTCATTCGTCACCGGAATAGATGTCAAGGCTACCAAAGATTTGTTACGCAAACGTTTCGAGTTACCAATACTTGCTGTGCCAGCGGCTCTAAACCAAGAAAGATCGTTTTCTACACGTGACAAGTTTACCAGGAATACCAAGGGTAGCACTTCCTGTAGCATAGATTATCCGTAGTATGCTTGCCTTTATACTCGCAACACCATCATTCCCAGCCTAGCCTATTGAATATAACTCGGTGATTTCCAAAAGAAGCTACTCATGCCTTTGTTCACCTTGGGAAATACCAACGCATTATACCATCCATTGAGGAAGGCAGTGCTCACTCTTTTCATCTACTTGGAAGCTGGCCCGTTTCTTCCTGGGTATGGGTGGTATACAATTTTTTTTACTCCCGCACGAAAGCACGTAGCTGACATTATCGGAAATTCGTGGGGATATACTACAGCTATTAAAACGAAGGGAGGCGATAAGCTGACCCCAGATGGATAGAGTTTACAATAGTTATTTCGTAGACTTTCGTGTCGTCCGACGCTTGGTCACTTTCGCACTAGTTATACCACTTGATCTAGATGACCTCGACCCCGACGCCGAGGTTCTCCTCGTAGATGTGCGAGATCGTTTGACACCTGGCATGTCCGACTTTTGAGGACAGTTGGAGGCAATATGACCCACCTGTACCGCAATTGGCATAACGCATACGTAACAAAGTCCAGCAAGTTAATAGGGGATTTACCATAGCTTCATTCCATGGATTTTGACACTGATCGGGGTGAAAACCGCACTTTTGGGACAATCGAATAGCAAAAGCAAAGCATCCTGCGGGAATATATCATCATGACAAAATCTCAACACTCGTTGTCGAACAAGGCACGCTAGTGTACTTACCTCATTACAAACATAACATTGTGCCGATGCCAGCCAGTCCCCATCCACCGACGGATTAGACTGGGGAGTGGGTACTCTCGAAGTAGCCGACGGTGAAGAGGCCCAGGTAGCGCCTCCGTTGGTCAGCCGACTTGATGAGGAAACTGTTGGTCCGTTGGAATTACCCGCAGGTTCGTCAGCCCATTGAAAAAACTTGCACGGTTGGTACGATTTGCTACATTTAAAATAGTGCCTCCCTTGGTTTTCACCGTTTTTGTGCACTACATTCTGGGTGGCTAACCTACCACAGTGACATTGCAGCCGACGATCGGCCCCGTCACCATGTACGGATTCCAAGTGTTGCCGAAAAGCGTTTAACGTATCCGGGCCTGGCGAATAGTCCTGGGAAAGAATAGGTTGGTCTGCCCACTGGAAAAATGAACACCGGTCGTCCATTGGTTTGCTGCAGCTGTAAAACGACCGGTCTTTGTTGGGTCCTTCTTTCTTGGTTACCCGGGAGACTGCCGGTTGTGAACATTGACACAAAACAGTACCCCCGTTCGTAGACTCTACGGCAGCTGAGTGTGAAAATGATGATGAAGCAGATAATGCTGCCCGTCCAATGACCCGACCGCTGCTACTGGGCTGACGGAACATATTAGCGGTATTGGACAACGGAGTCGCCGATAACGAACCGGCTGGGGCTAAACCGATCATCATATCGGACAATGGTATCGGTTGACTGGGCGCACGAACCAATGGTTGAGGCAATGCTGAAGGACCCATCCCAGCACGAGAGTGATTTGCTTCGCGTGCGGAAGACATGGTTTGCGACACCGTAGACCGCGGTGCAGCACCCGCAGTAGGTATGTTAAACAACTCGTTCAACACTGTATCACAGCCACCGACGCAGACGGTGCACTAAATACCCAAGGTTGTCAATATATTTATAAATCCGCCACAGAGAGGTGATCAAAGGCAAAACGAGATTCATTAGACAGCAGCGAGTTAGTATCATCCGTTTCCTGCCTTCCTGGATAGTAGTAAAACCGGTATGCCGAATCCATGCGACTGGAATGACCAACTCTCGTTTGATGTGAAAAAGTCATCAGATACAAGACACTCGGAGTTTGCACAAAGTAAGCTCAGATAAAATACCCTCTAAAAATATAAATATCCCCAAAAATGTAAACTTACAGGTGAGGTATAGCCCAAGGGTAGGCTGCCTTCGGGAAACTCGAACGTAACCAGTTTTACAGGTTGACCGGGGGTGCTACAACGGGTGCATGCCGCATTTTCCGCCTTGACCTGGGCAACATAGTTGGGGAACCAGATGGACGACCGACACTGAGGGTAGCCCAAGCACCCTATATATGGTCGATTATTGGCGGTGACTCGTAATGCCATAGTGTTGGAACACTGTGGACAAGCACGTATGGCAGTGGAAGTGAGCATAGGTGGAGCTGGGCCACCGTCGGGTTCGTGACCCAAGTGTTTGGCGAGCGCCAATTCCAAAATTTGGAGTCGTTCTGCAGTTTTTTCGTATACATCCCGGTACCTCTGCAGATTTTTCTGTACCACCTCTGCTTTACTGCACTGCCCTGCGCTGATATTCTTCATGTCTTGTTCCATCTCGCAGCGAAGGTAAGGTTTAGTAAGCGATAGGTCAAACCCAATGTTATCGTATCCTTCCGCCAGAGCTACTCCCAGGGTGGATGGGCAAAAGCGAGAGTCGCTTTGTTTAAAGGCATACTCACGTTCCTGAATTTTTTTAATATGCTCCGGGATGGTGGCGTCCGTGCCTGGGCGAGTTATAAAATTGGCAAGGGAAAACGTAACAACGCAATGAAAAAAAATGTAAGCATGAATGAAGGTGAGCACCCCTTACATAGCAGCCTTCCCAGTATTATCACATAATAATAGTAACATTGACAACGCCCATTACTGATATAGCAATACACATGATTGATTTATCCACTTACCGATACCGTTTTTCTGCATACGCTGAATGAGTTCGTGTTCGGACAGTAGCAGCGGGGCGCTGGTGGTCCCAGACGACATTTCGATACTGGTGGGTAGAAACTGGGACCCTTCCTGAAAAATCGGAATGGCTTGGTCATTCCATCGCTCATAAGGGTACACTTCAAGATAATTCTTGGCCAAGACCATGAGTCCACTGCAGGAGAATTCCTCTCCGGCAATGGTAATGGTGACACTGGTTTTATGACCCTTGGCGTGCTCCCAACACGCTGCAATGAATCTTCGAACGATCAATTCGTAGAGTCGCTTTTCGTCGCCTCGAAGGTTGGTAACACACTGTGTTGGGTGAATGGGTGGATGGGCATTGTCGTTGTTTTTGCCGATGCGAGGTGGACGGAATTCCCCGTCCAGGAGTCGACGGGCGTATCCACCCAGGGCCGGTTCCAGAGTGAGCTTTTCCAAAATGGGCTTTAGTTGGAAATCGTTGCTGAATTGGTCAGTTTCGGTGCGTGGGTAACTGATGATACCGCGGTTGTATAACTGCTCCGCTATTTCCATGGTCTTGTCCGATGACATTTTCAAGAATTTAGAAGCCATCGTGAGCATCTCTACCGTGGTAAGCGGCAATGGTTTCCATTTACTAGTCGGTCGGGATACCATCTTGGTAACGTGGGCGGTGGGTTGGTCCAAACACAGATCATAGAGCGCCAGACAGACCCACCGGTCAAACAATTTGTTGCGTTTCCAGAGAAATTTTGCGGTCGCTTCATCCTTGGTGTGACGCACGTCAATGGTCCAGAACGTTTCCGGCACAAAACTTTCCACTTTGAGATACTGGTCTACCACGAATCCCAACGTAGGAAATTGACACGGTCCGTAGCTCAGTAGCATATCCTTCATTTCTTGAAACTTTGGCGCAAGATTCAACGTTTGGAAACGGGTCAAGGCCGAGCCAATTCGTAGATCGAGTTCCAGCCGAGCATCTACCGCGGCCACTAGGTTGTAATCCATCTGGATGGGATGACGCATAGCGGAATGAATACCCTCTGAAGTAAAATTAGAAAATTTAGCACGGAGTACCTCCACCTGGGGTTTCACCGCCCGGCACACTTGAATGATTTCATCCCCGATACTTTCCCCTTCCCGGTCGTAATCGGTCCAGATAATCAATATGTGGGTACCCCGCACCTCGGCTTCCAAGTTTTTTTTGAACGATTCGTAATTTTTCGTAATCTGTTTAAAAATGGGGGCTTCGAACAAGCGGATGGGATCCACCATGCGCCATTTGGAGTATTGCTTTTCGAA